CACTCTGGTTTTACCAAAGAGAGTTAGCAAGGTCTTACCCTCTGAAATATGATAGGCAGTAATGACAAAGAGGTCCCACACATATGGTAAACAAATGCAAGTCATTAGTATGACATCATGTTATATTCAGGTGTAGGGTTTGCTAGGTGCTAGTTATGATCAGTAGACACAAGTTGGTCCAGCAGAATATCAGCCTAGGGCCCTGGTAGGTTTCTTGTCAGTTACGTGGAGCTAGATACTTAAACCATCTATAGATACTCAGCCCCGGTATTCTCAGCACCATACAAGGCCACACGAGGAAGTATAGATGTGGTTCCTTCCCCAAATGACTTTCAGTTTAATTGGGGAAATTAGACTAACACTCTTGAAACAATTATAAAACAACCAATATTTAAAATTGTGGTACCAATTCTAAACGTAGCGGATTTATTCAACTTCCTCTTTTGTTCAGCCCATACGAAATGAGTAAGGCATTGCCTCTGCCTCAAGGAGCTAAGTTTTATGGGGAAAACAGACATATAAACAAGTAATTCTAATAATATAATTTAATAGATGCTATCATAGAATTTATAGAACTCTTTTCTGCCTGGATCCAGAGTCACTGCTATTTAGGTGAGCTACTTAGAGTAGTCACAATATGTAAGTGACTATCATTTGAAGGTGACTTATTTTTTTCAGTCTCCTTAAGGATATTGTAGGTGAAAAAATATTGTTTGCAAAAATCCAGTTATTGGCAGAAAAAGGACAATGAATACAAATTTAATGGTGCCCAGGTTTGACCTTTGACTAAATTAGTAATTTCAAACATTTTTCTTTTAAGGAGCCATGTGGTCCATTTCCAAAGGCAGGTCAAATATGTAGCTTCAGGCTTCCTAGCAGGAAAAGAAAAAACCCAATTACATACTTTATGATATTCTATTGACATAAACATATTCGCTGCTGTTCAGGAGAAACTCAGATGCAGAAATCTCCAAGAGGAGACTATAGCTATGGTGGGAAGGGTGCTAGCCAATTCCTACAGGAACACAGTTTTGATTATTTTTATGTCTCTTTTCTTATAGGGCCTCTAAATGCTAGCTGATGACTATCTCCAAAGGAAAATTTAGAAATTACGGTTTTGTGAAGAGCCAAGACAATGCTGGCCAAGTATGCAGGGCTGAACCCAGGGTAATATTTAGAACATCTAGGGGAATGGACAGACTCCATGTCCCAAGGCAACACTCCAAAAATAGTCTTTCTCACAACTGGATATTTTCATGATGTTTGGATAAGGGAGAGCACATGGTTACAATCTAGGTAAGGAATCTAGAGGGCAAAGTGTCTGTGCGGCTGATCAGGTGCTCATTTGGAGGACAAGGAGACATTCCATTTCTTAAAATTAAGGAACCCGCCTAATACTTGTGTCTATATGGACGGCCACCGCGCCACGAGTGTTCCCACTGCCCCTCAGTGCAGAGAGCTGTCTTTGATTAAGGGCCACTCGCCTCATTTTGGGTCACTTCACATTCTCATCACTGCAAAGGCGATCCTGCTGGGCAGGAAGAGTCTCCTTTCCGGCAGATTCCAAATACGGGGTCGGGGGAGGTAGGCGGAGGTGGGGGGAGATGCAGGGCTGGGGAACTACCTCCCACACCTGGATCTAATCTGTAGCCTTGGTCTGTTTGGACCCTTCCCCGGGGTTTATCCAGGAGGGCCACATCCTTAACTTCCGTGTGGGTTTGCTTCCCCTTGTTGTACCTGCTATGGTTTCTGCCCCACCACGTGCGCTTGTCTAGTTGGAGGAAAACAAACCACAAGGGGGAGAAAATGCCATCTCTCTTTAAGATTTAATGTTTAAGAAATGTGCGCTGCAAATAAAGATCATTACTTGGGAGAGACCCAACTAATCCTGGGACAGGATAAGCTAGGAGAAGCCTGGAGAAGACTCCCGGAGGCAGATGGGATTCAGATCAGCCTGGGAGAGTTCTATTCTCAGGGTTTTATCTTGGACTTTTATCTGGCCAGTGAGATCTGAAGTCCCTTTTGAAGGACCGGAGGGCAGAGGGCGGGGCTGGCCCTGCTCTGAGATCCTGTCAATCAAACAGATGGGGATAAAGAATCACTCATCACTCTGGTCAAGTTTGCAAGTCCAAATTTCTAGCATACCTGAAATTGTTCTGCTCCCAAATGGCGAACCAAGACAATTTGTACTAAATTAGTTTGTCTGTCATTCTGAGGGTCTGCGGCTTCCAGCCCTGACTCTGGGGCCTGTCATCTTCTCATGAAAATGGGTACTCCGACCTGCCCCATGCACTGCCGTTCTCTTGGTGTGAGCAGCCCACCCCCTTGCCATTCTAGCTCTGGCATCTCTCTAACACTGAGGGGAGTGCTGGGGTTTTGGGGAGCACTTAATGGCTCTCTCTCCATAATGATGGGCTCAACAACTAGGATAAAGCAGAGTTCCTTCCGGATGAGAAATACATTCTAGGATACTACTGGAATTCACTGGGTGTCTCTGGGTTTAGCACTGAGCAAAGCCCCCCTGGCATTGAGAGAGTTTGGAACTTAAGAGTAAACTCCTGATGGAAGAAAAGAATTCTACCAGTCATGGGTCTCCTTGTGGGTTCTACCACCTGATGGGTCTACCACTTATGGCTTCTACCACTTATAGGTTTACCACTAATGGGTTCTACCACTTATGGGGTCTACCACCTGATGGGTCTACCACTAATGGGTCCACTCAATGGCCTTCTGGCCGCCTTCCCTGGTCTCCTAAAGCTCTTCTCCAGGCCTCCTCCACCATGTTTCCCTATCGTTTGATGAGAGAAAGAGGATGTTGTTTCTCAGGGGAACTTTGGACGGTGTGACTTAACTTGTGCAGGTAAAAGCTAGAACTTCCTTCCGCACTGGACACTTGGGACCACAGACTCTTCATTTCCCCAGGCTCCACTGGCTCTGTTACCCATTCTCTCTACACCTCCCTCCCCCTAAAATCTCCCTACCTCTCAAGAGGAGGATGATTACTCACAAAGACAAGCCAGGCACAGAAATAGCCAACCTATTTGTGGCTTAAATGCAAGCAGTTTTATTTTTACAAAGAGTTGCTGTATTTTCTCTAAGTATAAATCATTATCTGCCACAAATGAAACTCCAGCTCCATCTGCAATAGTTCCTGCTTTTGTTAGTGGTGCCAATTAGTCACAAAACAATTGGCACCTTCTCTCACCCACTCACGCTGGGGGAGAGAGCATCATCTCTTCCAGGCTACCCCTGACTAACTCGACCCCTCTGGATCCTCTCCCCTACCTATATACCATCTGGCTACCCTGGCTTCCTAGAGGCTTGTTCCTTGTTCACCTTGTGACTCTCATCAGTTTCCAAATTGGGCAACTTGTTGTTCTCTGCCAGTATGGACAGACTTCTCTGTTCTGTTAGGAGCTGGAAAAAGCAAATTGGTGAGGCTCTCTGTTCTGTTGACTTAAATAATGACGTTGGAGTCTTCCTTCCAGTTGGTCACTCTGCTCAGGGTTTCACAGCCCCCGTAGGGACGGGGTGAAACGTTCACAAAATCTGGACAGTCCCTGAGCTTCTGGGAAGCAGCAAATGTGGAGCAGAGGAGCAGAGCAGATCCTTCTGTCCTGTCCGTCCTCCTTCACTCCTCTTTTGCTTAGGGGGTCTCTTCTCTCCCGACCGTGACTTTGGAACCTTCTCAGGCAGCCTGTTACTTCTCTCCTTGTTGGATTTGCTTTTGTGTGTCTGATCCCCTTCTTTTCTGCCTTGCAGTCTGCTTTAGCCAGTCCTGGGGTTTTTTTTTTTTTTTTTTTTTTTTCCAGTTTCTGATTATCCTTGGGGAAATGTAAGGTTCTTCAGGAGGCTGAACTTCTCCTCTCTTGGAACATCAAAACCAGGTAATGAAAACACACTTCCCACACGGCTTCCCAGAACTGAGTTCACCCGATTTTTTGACTTGCTGCTCAGCACCCGCCTACCCAGTAGATGCCCCGAGCCTCACCTTGTTTTGTCTGTGGCTTGACGGTCTTTAGGAGAAGTCCTCTGGTCTCCCTTTTCTTCTTCCCACCGGACGACAGAGCCACAGGTCTGGCTTCCCACAAGAGCAGTTGGGCTCGCCTTTGGTCTCGCTGCTTATGAAAACAGTCTGAGGAAAGTGTCATATATGGGTTCCTAAGCCTGCTTTCCCGCAGAATCTGCAATTGCCTTCTCGCCCTGTTTTGATCTAATCAGTCCCAGGGGTCCATTACGACTTTGACACAGTAGTGAGGGAATACTTTTGAAAAAGAACAAATGCTGCCAGGAATGGGGGTGGGTCTTCACCACAGTGCTTGGCTAGTCAAACCATCCAGAATTCTCCTGCTTGGCCTTGGTGCCTTTACATTGGGTCTGTTGAAAAAGGGCCCAGGGGTTAGGGGAAAGAGTAACCTGACTGCGTTCTGAGAATTTGCATCTAACAGAAACAGCTGCTCCCAGGAATAGTCTCCAAACCAGGTTGAGAAGCAATGTGAGCATTGATGTCCCTCGACTCCTGGAACCCAGCTCCTGGGCTCTCTCTCCTCCATCGCATCGCGCTTACACAGTCAAATGGGCATGAGATTCTCTGAAGATGTGCTGTAGAAAGGGAGTGGAAATTTAATTATTGAGCAACATGGCCCTCCCTGTGTGAGTGTATACATACGTCTCATTTAACCATTGCAACTTTTTGCTATAACATGATTAGCTCCATTTTACAGGTGAGAAAACTGAGTCTTAAAGAGCTTGGCAGAGATCACGTGGCTGGTTACAGGCTGAATCACGAATTTGAGCTTGTTCTATCTTCTGCTACACTGGTGATTTTGCCCTTTCATGTAGCATTTCTCAGGGTGATCTTTCTCCTTAGTCCTGGCTGGACCTAGTGGTCCAAGGGGGTCAACCACCTCTCATTATCACCAGCTTGTTCCCACTCTGGATCAGCATGAAGGTTTTCACTTGAGTGTGTCACCGAATGATGCCATTTGAAGCACGGCTTCTGCTGATAAGCGTGGGACCATCTGCTTGGCACATCTCAAATATTTTCAGCAGTGGGAAAGCGGCTCTGATTTCTTCAGAGAAGGGAGGCTGCAGGCATCCTTGGAGGAGATGCTGGGACCAGAGACCCTGCAGGCTGGCGGGGCAGCGGAGCCCCAGGATGCGAAGGGGCTGCCTCCGTGCTGCCACTTCTGACCCTCCCTGACCGAATGGAGCTAGTGAGTCCGCATCTCACTTTTTCATTGTTCAGCTGCTCTTGACAACCAGAGTAAGATTTTCCCTCTTCAAAAAGCTATTCCCTGGGCAAATCTTTCTGTGCTGGTTGTTTTCACAGTGTGTTAGGTGTTTGGTGTGTGTTGGCAAATCCTCTGTCTCCTCCTGCCTTCGTTTTGGAAAATTTGCTTCTCTGCTGGGATAACTGTCTCCCCACATTGTTTTTCAACTTCAGGGTTGAAACTTCTGCGTTAGCTTTTTCTTTTTGACTCATGACAGGGGGCAAGAATCTTAGGATCCATTCGTGGAGCTGATGGTGGACTTGGAGGTTTTCAAGGTTGTTTAACTAGATGTTATGAATGATAGAGGAGTCAAGGTTTTAAAAGATTGTTACCACGTTTGATTCCTCTGGGGAAATCACTGGGCTAGAAGCAGTGGGGTATGGCCAGAGGCGAGCTAGATTGATTTTTCTCTGCCTTGCCTTAGTGGGCACCAGCTTTAGTACTGGCTCCTGCTGCCAATAAAGTCAGATGTGCTACCCATGGGTGGGAAGGTGTCTATTAAGAGGAATCTCCAGCTCAGTCTTTTTTGTGAGGAAAATCAGCCTTGAGCTAACATCCATGCCAATCCTCCTCTTTTTGCTGAGGAAGACCGGCTCTGAGCTAACATCTATTGCCAATCCTCCTCCTTTTTTTTCTCCCTTTTTCTCCCCAAAGCCCCAGTAGATAGTTGTGTGTCATAGTTGCACATCCTTCTAGTTGCTGTATATGCGATGCCGCCTCAGCACGGCTGGACAAGCAGTGCGTCGGTGCGCGTCCGGGACTCGGGATCCGAACCTGGGCCGCCAGTAGTGGAGTGCACGCAACCAACCACTAAGCCACAGGGCCGGCCCCTCCTGCTCAGTCTTGATGTTTGATGTGAATGTCTTGACAATATTTCCCAGGCAGGTGGGTGGAGGTAAATTGGTAGGGGAATGTGTAGGATGTTGTTGGATTGCTGTGTAGACAGCAATGAGAAGGAGGTAACGAGCCTGCCTCTAGAGCAGGGTTTTTCAACCTTGGCACCAATGACATTTTGGGCCAGATAAGTCTTTATTGTGGGGGCTGTTCTGTGCATTGTAGGATGTTCAGCAACATCCCTGGCCTCGACCCACTGGATGCCAATAGTGCCCTCCTCTCAGTTGTGACAACCAAAATCTCCAGATGTGCCAAATGTCTCCTTGGGGACAAAATCAGCACCCCCCTTTTGAGACCAGCATTCTAAGTTGATGCTGCTGTACACTTGGAAAAGGAGCAAGAGATTTCTGCTTCTCCACGCAGACGGCTCAGTTGTCCGGAAGCAGGGAATGAGGCGTTTAATACAAGGGCAGATGTCCCAGCCCTGCACATTCCCATCAGATCCCTTACCTGCCATGGATAGTCCTTCTCACAGATGGGTTTCTCTTTGTCCGGGTTACTGCACACACACAGAGAGAAGAGTTTGTCCTTTGCTCTGGAGCTGCACACCTGGAAGGTCCAGCCTAGGGTCAGACCTCTCTTTTGGGTTGCTTAGGAACAGGACAAGGTTTCTGATGGCCCACCCGGGAACCCTAGTTTTGTTGGCTTGTCTCTCCTCCCTCCCTTCCTTCCTTCTTTCCTTCCTTCCTTCCTGACTGGGAATCCAGGACCGTGAGAGGACTGTGGCCAACTGAGAATGTGAGAGGAGATGTTTGCTTCTCAGATCTCCAGAGAAAACTCTGGCAAGTATAACTGTATAGCATTGAAAACTCTCTGCCCTATCCCTCAATAAAGCTGCACACCCCACACCTCTGCTTTCTTTGATTCTTTTTGCTTTTCAGTCAGCGCTATTGTCCGTGTGTTCCTCTCACTTTCATGGGAGGTAAATGCAGGTAGCAATTTCGAGTAGACCTGCAAAGCCCGCCTCCTTAAACATCTGTGGAGACCACCATGCTGGTGTTCCCTGCCTGCTGATTCATTAGCTCGGTTTAGCACTTCCACGAGACTGGTATTGGCAAAGTGTCTTTCAATCTCTAGCTTTCCTTACACCCCAGCCTTCCAGAAATACATTAAACTGGCAACTGTGTGAAGGAGCTGAGGTTCAGAGGGGCTAAGCTGCTTTGGGGAGGACTCGCATCTAGTGGTTAGTTTGATGGAAAGCGTGGCTCGGAGGCAAAGCAGCCTTAGGCACAGGCAGAATAGCCAGTCACCTCTGCAATGTAATTGGAACAATGTCAAACCTCTCTTCTCAAACATCTCCCTCTCTCTCTCTCTGTTTTTTTGCTGAGGAAGATTCACCCTGAGCTATTGCCAATCTTCCTCCTTTTTGCTTTGAGGAAGATTAGCCTTGAACTAACATCTGTGCCAGTCTTCCTCTATTTTGTACGTGGGTCGCAGCCACAGCATGGCTGACGAGTGGCGTATGTCTGCACCTGGGATCTGAACCCGCGAACCCGGGCTGCCAAAGCGCAGGAGGCAGAACCTAACGCCGTGGGGCTGGGCCCTCAAACGTCTCTGTTGCATTCAGATGTCATACTGCCTACAATTCTTTTCATTTTTGCAGGAAGGTGGTGAGTGTTTAGTATACCCTGTATACAGTCAGCCTGGCTGGCCAGGGCTAGTGTGAGGTGTTGGAGCCTGAGCAGGTGAGGAGCACCCATCTGGAGGCAGCCCAAGGGCTGGTGGCAGTGACATGGCAGGATGAGGAGGGCATCTGCCTGGGGGGTAGAGGGGACCTGGTGCCTGGTTCACAGCTTCTGCTGGGTGAGGAGTGTGTCCCAGGGCAGGGGGCAGTGGCAGTGATGGCCTCTCATGAAATGAAAGACCCCAACAGAGTGAGGAGGGCATCTGTGCAGGGGTGGGGGACAAAAGTGGTAGATATAGGAGATTTTTTTATCCACAGGTGGGTTGATCAAATAAGTAAATATATCATGGGTAATGGGAGACAGGTTTCTCACCATCAGAGAAGGGAATTACAAATATGGAGAGGAAGAAAACTAAACTGAACTCAGTGGTGTTGGGTCAAAATTGGAAATATTGGTGTGAATTCATTGGTATTCAATATGTAAGAAAGATATAGAAATATAGATGTCAGTGTGTGTATGTATGACTGTGCATATGTATTAATATACATATATTCCTTAGCTCTGTCCACTGAGAGGGCCTGGGAGCAGTGACACCCCAATGGCGGTGGGCACACCCAGCACCCAGATATCTTGGCTTCTAAATACCCCTCTCTACTAAAAGGAATCAGGGCTCGTTGGAGAAATGGTTGATTCTAGGGACTGGGACAGGGAACATACAAGATGAGTAGCGCCTGATAAAATATCCGGTCTTTTGGCTTGGAAGGCTGGGAATACTGGATGAAGCATGGAACAGCAGGGAAGGTCTGATTTCTGTTTGGAGCATCAGCTGAGGCGGGTGTGCCACGATGAGAGGCCCAGCTGGAGATATCAGGGCTGCTGGTTAAGGGCCTGGTATTACGGGAGATGTCTGAGTTACAACCATGGATTTGGATATCATCTCTATGCAGCGATAGTTGAAATGAGGGGGTTGGAGGAGGCCACCCAGGAAGAGTCTATAGACTAAGAAGAGAGGAGGGCCAGGAGTGGAGCCCTGAGGCCCAAAGGGCAGTGTAAGAAGAGATCCAGGGAAGGAGACAGAGAAGAAACTGCAGGAAGGCAGGAGGAGAGCCAGAGGGAGGAAAGTGTGTCTAGGCAACGGTGTCATCTCAGAGACCTCAGCGAGGAGGATGGAGTAGGATTCCACGGCACACTTTGTATGCGGTGTGTGGGGGGATGAGAACGAGGTCACATCTTACTCCCTTTCAGAGGACTTGTCTAAAAGGGTGATGCTGATGAATGGACCAGTTCTTTTATTATTTTTCAACAGAAGTGTTTGTTGATAGTGGTGATGACTATGGATTGTTTCATTTCACAGAAGAAAGTGGCTTCAGAAGAAACTGAAAACAACTCATCGCTGTTGGTTTTTATGGTTGTTATGGGTTTGGCACTGGGTAGGTGGTGCCTTAATAAATAGAAATCCACCCTCTAATAAAGAATATCCTTTAATAAACAAAAAGCCCATCCTTTGAGGCTTTTAATAAAAGTCATTACTGACCATCAAGTTGATTGTGGTGATCGCTTCTGGTGACATTAAGGTGATTGTTAAATGTCCCAAAAGTTGTACTGGCCACATATCTGGGTGAGTGGACTTCACACATAAATGAACTGTTGACAAAGCACTGATGTTAGGAGTAGAAATAGTGCTCACTTGAACCTGGTCAGCCCAGGCTCTGGTCTGGCTTGGCTGCTAGCTAAATATGTAATATTGGGCTAGTCGTGAGTCAGTTTCCTCAGCTGTAAAATAAAGGATGGTTTGTGGGATCGACATAATTCCTTCCACTTCTAAACCTTAGTGATCAACAGAGGACAGGCAGACTTGTAACAGTAAGGAAGCGTTTTTAAAAAAACTCCAAGCTGCATCCTCTTACATCTTCTATAACATACCCCAGTTTCTGGGGGAAAAGAATTTGTAACATATACGACAAAACGTTATATTTATATGTTTCTTGCAACTCAATAAAAGAAATGGGCAAAGAACGTGAAAAAATAATCCATCAAAGAAGAAATACAAGTGACTGTTAATAGGAAAAAATATCTAAACTCATGAGCAATCAAATAAATACAAATTAAAACAAAATATCTTTTTAATCACCTATCGAATTTTGGAATTTTTAAAAATGGAGATGTGGAGGAAAAAAGCATATATATGCTGTGAAAAAAAGCATTCATATACTGTTGATGTCAGTATAAGTGGTACCGTTTTTTGGAAGACAATTTGTTAATACACTTTAAAATCTTGAAAAATATGTATACCCTTTGATCCAGCAATTCCACTTATAGAAATATGTCCTAGGGAACTAATTAAAGATGTGCATAAAATTTGCATCCAAGAAAGCTCATTACAGTGCTTTGTTTTTTTTAAAAAGAAATGGTAAAAAATCAGAAGCATCCAGTATCTCCAAGGTTAGAGGATTATTAAAAATAAATTATGGTCC